AAAAACTTATTTTTGCCTCTTTTTTATTTATTTATTTTTTCAATAAGAACAGACACTACATTTACAAGAATACAAAATTATTTGTATCAAATTTAACTTGAGGTGTTTTTTATTTAAATGTTTCACAGAAGCTCTGAGTTGAGAATCACTCTCCTGATTGTTAACTTTTACAGCGGCATTATTAAAACAGTCGTGTGTCTGCTTCCACCTCATGCTGAGGTGACAATAAATCCTTTCAGGCTTTTTAACAGGTAGATCTCAACTTCCTCTTGTGAAATRCTTTCCTATTATAAGTAATTCACTTAGTTAATTAATTGCCTCGTGCGAATTAATTTAAGGAGCACGATTGAAGTTGCACAACCAGTTAATGAACCATTTGCATCCAAAACAAATCAGAATAAAAAAACAGCAAGCTGTGGTGCCAAGCCTTTTGGTGCGCGCCTCTGAGAGGCCATTGGTCGGACTGGGCAGGGTGATTTGCATACACCAGGAGTTATAGTCAGCCCCTCTGATAAAGTCAGAGTTGTGTTTCCATTTGACTTGGCACAAGAGGCACACTGTTTGCATCATTTATAAGTGTTTGAGCTGCATTTTATAGACTTTCAACATGAGAGTTTGCCCGTTTGCACCAGCTGGAGTGTCCCTGCTGCTTGCTGCATTCTCTCTCACAGTCCACGGCACAACTACAAGATACTTCACCTTTGAGGAGGACGCACCAGGGACAGAGATAGGCAATTTGTCCCAGGATTTAAAGATTGATCCGGCTGACGACCCGGACACATCATTCCGCTTCATGCAGGAGAGCAACTCATCGGTGATCCACATGCGGGAGAGTGACGGACTCCTGAGTGTGGCAGAGAGAATTGACCGGGAGCAACTGTGCCCCTGGTCCCTCCCTCGCTGCTTCATCACCTTCGACATTGTGGCCCTCTCCAGGGAGAAGTTCCAGCTCATTCACGTGGAGATCGAGGTGAAGGACATCAACGATCACGCTCCAAGCTTTGCGCGCAACGAGACCAGCCTGGAGATCATGGAAAACATGCCCCTGGAGTCCAGGTTCCCGCTGCAGATAGCTCTGGACCTGGATGTGGGTGAGAACTACATTCAGAACTACAACATCTCCCCCTGCAGCCACTTCGCTGTGGAGGTGCGCGAGGGGGAAGACAGACTGAAGTTTGCGCAGCTGGTGCTGGTCAGGGAGCTGGACAGGGAGGTGGAGGACTCTTACACGGTGAAAGTTACCGCTTATGATGGAGGAGTTCCTGCAAAGTCCGGCTCCATGACGGTAAACATCAAAGTGTTGGACTTTAATGACAATAGCCCGATTTTCGAGCACAGCTCCCTGAAAGTGGAGCTGAACGAGGATGCGCCGGTGGGGCACAGAGTTCTCAGAGTGCACGCCTTCGACCCGGACCTGGGAGTCAACGGCGAGGTGACATATGCGCTCGCAGATGGGCTCTCACCTGAAGCCGTCCGTATTTTCCACGTGGACCCTTACTCAGGTGACGTGACGCTCAGGGCGCCTGTGGACTTTGAGAAGAGGAGGTCGTACGAGCTGCGAGTCACAGCCTCGGACCTGGGGGAGAGCTCCATCCCGTCCACGTGTCACGTCGTGATAGACATCGTGGATGTGAACGACAACGCGCCCGAGGTCACCATCAAACCGATGACCTCCAGCAGCGATGGGGTGGCCTTCATCACGGAGGCCGCGGCCGCAGAGAGCTTCGTGGCGCTGATCAGCACCTCGGACAGAGACTCGGGCTCCAACGGGTACGTGCGCGTCAGCCTGCTCGGGCATGAGCACTTCGCCCTGCAGCAAGCCTATGGGGACACGTTCATGATCGTCACCACCACCATTTTGGACAGAGAAAAGATCCAAGAATACAACCTGACTGTGGTGGCTGAGGACCTGGGAACGCCCCCTTTTAAGACTCTGAGGCAGTACACGATCAGTGTGACAGATGAGAATGACAACCCCCCTCTCTTCAGTAAGCCCCTCTATGAGGTTTCAGTGCTGGAAAATAACATCCCAGGTTCATATATAACTACTGTTGTTGCGCGAGATCCAGATGTGGGGAAAAATGCCAAAGTGTCTTACAAACTCCTGGACTCAGAGGTCCCAGGAGGGTCCCCCGTGTCCACTTATGTTTCTGTGGACTCAGTTTCAGGGTCTCTGTACACGCTGAGGTCCTTTGATTATGAGACACTGCAGCAGATTGAGGTGGTCATCCAAGCAGAAGACAGAGGCTCCCCTTCCCTTTCAAGCACATCAACAATCAGGGTTAGAGTCGTCGACCAGAATGACAACTATCCATACTTCACCTTCCCATTCCTCCTGAACGACTCTGCTGAGGTTCCTCTGCCCTACAACGCACCCTCCGGCTACCTCGCCCTCTGTCTGTCCGCTGAGGATTCAGACGAGGGAGTGAACGGCAAGCTCACCTACCACGTCGTGCAAGGTGACCCAAAGCTGTTTACCCTGAACAAAAACACTGGTGAGATTGCTTTAAAGCAGCGGCTGACAGCTGAAATAGGAGACGTGCTGGAAGTGAGAATCACAGTGAGCGACAGCGGCAGGTCCCCGCTCTCCAGCGGCGCCACAATCAGATTTGTGGTCTCAGACACAAAGCMCCCAGAAGACCAGGTCAACGTTGTGCTGCGGTCGAGCGAGGGGGAAAGCTCCGGCTTTGATGGCTCGCTAATTATCATCATTGTGCTCAGCGGAGGCWGTGCATTGTTGCTAATTGCCATAGTTGCTGTGGCTGTCACACGCAAGCTCGGCCRTAGGGGGAGAAGCCGTGGCAGGAAGAGAGACGTGTGCCAGGGTCTGTTTGACGGCAGGCCCCTACCCATGCTCAGCTCTGCTGAAGCAAACATTTACACGGGCCAGCAGGGGTTCTTCCAGGAGAGGACATCTTTGTCTCTGGATGAGTCCTTCCTGTACGAGGAGAGGAGCAGGGACTCTGACACAAAGGTGAGTCAGCCAAGATCTTTTTTTATGATGCTCTTGATCTTTGTGCCAGAAATGGAAACTAACCTTTCTACTGTCACTGTGTTTGCTTTCTCTCTCTCTCTCTCTCTCTCTCTCTCTCTCTCTCTCTCTCTCTCTCTCTCTCTCTCTCTCTCTCTC